GGCCGAAGGCGATGCTAAACCGCTGAGCCACCCGGGCTGCCCCTATATTCCTCTAATAGTATCGAAAAGGGAAGTTAGGGCATTTAAGCATGACCTTTTTTTTTTCTTTAAGTTTTTATTTTAGTCACCCAGTGCTCATCATAAGTGCCTTCCTTAATCATCATCTATTTCACCCATCCCCCCACGCCCCTCCCCTCTGGTGAGCATCAGTTTGTTCTCTATAGTTGAGAGTCTGTTTCTTGATTTGTCTTTTTTTTTCCCTAAGCATGACTTAAAAAATTAAATCCATATTGCCTCCTAATGTATATCACTTTCTTTTCATAAACCTTATGTATAATGTAATACAGAGTTTCACCAGTGACTTATGTTAATTTAATAATCTATCTCGTGGCTGGTTGACTACAATGGTAGGTCTTATAACTGAAATTCTTTGAACCAGAGGGGTTTCTGAAGCAGCTTATGTATGTGTTTCTATTCCTAAGTAGAAAGGCGTGGAGGTGGGGATAGAGAAGAAATTCACTTATAACCGAAGCCTGCATAAGTGAGAATTGATATTTTGAAACAATGAGGAGTTTTCATTTATTTATTAACTGTGTAGTTGTAATTTTCCCAAGGGGCACTGTAGCCACAGTAAAATGATTAAGGCAAGTGTATTTGAAGCACCAGACTATGACTCTTAATACAGTTTTTATCTTCAGCAGCATATATTAAGTATCTGCTGTGAACCCAGCCCCATCATAGTCTCTAGGGGGATGCAAGAATAGTTGCAGATGAGTTGATTTCACCTTTTTTTTTTTTTTTGAGTCTGTTAATAGTGGTGTAGCACCCACTCTACTCCAGGCACTGTTTCAATTGCTTCCATATACTAATTCAATCCCATTATACCCATTTTATAAATAAGGAAACTAAGGTGTGGAGAGATTAAGAAACTTGCTGAAGTCACACTGCTTGTAAATAGTGAAACTGGGCTTTAGAACTGCCCAGTCATTGCTAGGCTCAGTTTCCTTGTCATTCAACAGACATTTATTGAGTAACTTCTATTGGCAAGGGGTTGAGTTGGATCATTTTCTAAGACTCATTCATTTATCATATACTTATTGAATACCTACTATGTGCCAGAGGATAGAGGAGTGAATAAGACACAGTCTCTGCTCTTGCCAGACAATCAGTCAAACATAATACATTTTCAGAGAGTGATAGTCTGTGACTAAAATAAAGCCAGGGAAGGGGCTGGAAAGTGATAGAGAGGTGCAGGGATATTTTTAGATTTTGTGGGCTGAGGAGGCCTTTCTGAGTAGGAGTCATTTGAGCAGAAACCCATTTGAAGAGAGGAGCCAGCCACATGGGCGTGTGAGGGGCGAGGAGTGACCCAGGTGGAGTGGGCAGCAAGTACGGAAGCCCTAAGGTCTAAGTGAGCCAAGACCTGTGCATCTGGAGCAGGAGGAGCTAGCGGGCAAATGTCAAGGATGAGGTCAGGGAGAATGATGAAGTCACCCTGGCCCTTATGGGTTATGGGATTTCATTGTGAACGCTATTGGAGGTCTTTGAGAGTTTTGAGCAAGAGTGGCATCCTTTGATTTTTGGCCAGATAATGGAGATACAGGGCATTGTTGGTTTGGGAAAAGTCACACAAAAGGCACTCGATAAGAACCTTGAACTCCGAATTTGAAACCTGGATTGAGCTCTTAGCATTGCAATGGTTAGCTTCATTTGCACCTGACACCTGACCTTTTAGAGTCTGCCTCCTGCTCATTAGAGACAGCATCTGTCCTGCTGACCTCACAAGGCTACCCTGAGCTGCGATGAAGTAAGAATGTGGAAGCGTTGTGTACCCACGTGCCGTGGAAAGCCGAGCTGGCGGGGGCCCAGATTTAGGAAATTGTAGACATTTGCAGATCATTGGCTATTAGTGCTTACAGAACACCCTTTGAAACATCTGATAGTAAGGGTGCGAGTGTTTCCCTGGTCACAAAGTCCAGGAGGAAAGAATCTTTGGGGAGATAAGATCTGATTGACTGACTCTCCCCTCCCCTCCCCTGCTGCCATGAACTGACTTGAGAACAAGTTAACTTCCTCCTGTCTGGCCAGGACATCGCAGACCTCTGTGTGGGCTGTTTTTGGAGGGTTGTTGGCAGAGATCCCCAGAGCAAAGGTCAGGTGAGTTGGCTTGGAGTTATTGGGAGACCTGCAAACACACGCGTGCACGCACACACACACACACGGATACACACATAGCCACACACAGGTGAACAAGGCACAGTCATAGTTGTTAGGGACTTGCAGTGTTTGTAGATGTTACATATATAAATAAATGATTAAAACTGTGAAAACTGCTTCCGTGGAAGTATTTTCAAAGTATGGAGAAAAGATGGACTAATTCTGTCAAGGGGCCAATCAAGGAAGGATTCACAGAAGAGGGGGCATTGGAGCAAATTCCAGTAAGATGCTTGGAAAGGTGGCTTTGCAAGCAAAGGGGAGGGGTTACGAACCAGCATGGTGGGTTCTGAAACTGATGCCATGAGAAACAGGGCTGGTAAGATCCTTCTAGGCCAGATGGTGGAAAGCTGCTGTCAGAGCCCGTGTTGGCTTATCTGCCTAAAGATTCTGAGTTCATTCTTTCTCTTGTGCAGTGTTTAGCCATCGGTTGAGCCCCTCTGAGGCCCAGTGTGCCAGTGTTGCTGAAATGTCAGTGAGGGTGGGTCCCTGCAATGCGCGGTACCTTGCCTGAGGTCAGGGTTTAAACAGTCACCGAAATGAGGAAGACACGATGGTTGTCACAGAGCTCCAGAGATGTCCTTCCAGCTGCGCAGCCACCGGGCTAGGACACTGCACCGCCTGTGGTGTCTGCGTGCTGACAGAGCAGGCGGGTGGGCCGGCTGCCGGCGTGTCCACACGAGGAGCTGCCGTGGGGTTTGCCTCCCAGCTGAGCCCTGGGCTGAGGAGAAGTGGGGGGGGGATCTGTGCCCACGAGTATCTTCTGCAAAAACGGCATTTGTTCAGTAATTACAAAAATATTTTTGACATTGCATGAACATGCTATGGGATTAAATTATCTGCAGTCAGTAGAAAAGACGAAGGAAGGTGCCCTGTTTATTTTCCATCATCCCGAGGTGACACGGCCCTTGACTGCAGGTCATACTCGCCTCTGCCTGGTCGCAGCCCTCTTCCCAGATGTCCCGGGATGCGACTTCCCAGCTCACGGATGCGACTGCTAGGTTGACCCCTCGCTTCCTCCGCGTTCTCTTCTCTGGGGGCAAAGTCAAATCCAGCCCATACACAAGAAGAGAAGATTCAGGGAAAGCAGCTCTGCGCTCCCGGCCTGTGATCCGATGACCCACGGGTCGAGAATGTTTCCAGGGCCTTTCCCGCGGTGCCCTGTCGCTTTCTGGCCGTACCCCTGTGTTTGCCTCCTGATGAATCCAGGGTGATATTCAGATGCCTTCACATCTCCTGCAAGGCAAGGGCTTTGCCTGTTACTACACCTAAAAAAAAACAAAAAAGTTAAGACTGCACTGGATATTGCAGGATATTGTAGGAACATAATCAACTGACTTCCTCTTAAGGCCTAAAGAGGAAGGGGTCCATCATTTTAAAAGTTTCCCTTCTCTTCCTTTTCTGGCATTTGCACCCCTCCCTCACTTTTATAATTGGTATATTATGGACAGATTTACAGATACACACACCAAAAAGGGAACTGTATAATGAACCTGCAAGTACCGGCTTCAACAGTTATCAACTTTGGGGCATATCTTGTCTCGTCTATATCCCCGTCTACCCATTCTTAATTATTTTGATTTTTTAAAATTTATTTATTTATGATAGTCACAGAGAGAGAGAGAGGCAGAGACACAGGCAGAGGGAGAAGCAGGCTCCATGCACCGGGAGCCCGATATGGGATTCGATCCCGGGTCTCCAGGATCGCGCCCTGAGCCAAAGGCAGGCGCCAAACCGCTGCGCCACCCAGGGATCCCCTCCTTAATTATTTTGAAGCAGATACCACACATCCTATCATTTCATCCATGAATGTCTTAGCGTATATTCCTAAGAGATGAAGACTTTGTAAAATCATAATACTTGCCTAATAATGCCTTAATATCGTCAAATAACTGATCAATATTCACATTTCTCTGAATATCACAAAATCTGTCTCTAACAGGCTATCATCAAGAATGCTAATCAAGGATCTGCTGCAGTTGATAGTTTTATCAGTTAGCTTTGCATCTTTGGACTCTCCTTCCATCTTTTTTTTTTCCTCGCAGATTATTTATTGATGAAACTGGGTCTTTGGTTCTCTTTAATTTCACACAGTGTGGGTTCTGTCAATTGCTTCCTTAGAGCATGGTTGAGCATCTCCCTCACGCCTCTGTATTTCCTATAAATTGGTGTCGTGTCTAGAGATTTGTTCAGGATTCAGATCCAGTTTTTTTGGCAAACATATTTTCTAGGCGGCTGGTGTGAACTTCTATCAGGAGGCACAAGTAATGTTTACTTGTCTCTTTGTGATGGTTGATTGGGTTTCTAAATATACCAAGTATTTAAGAGGGTTCAGTCTGTTAACGTTTACCTGGGCCCAGGTGGTGGTCTTAGAAAGGCCGAGAGAGGGAGAGAGAGAGAGGGAGGGGAGAGAGAGAGAGAGAGAGAGAGAGAGAGAGAGAGAGAGAGAGAGAGAATGCTCTTGGCATTCTTTGTCCAAGTCTGATGGGGGTGGGGGCTGTTAGGTTCTCTGTCCCTGAACTGTTTGCTTCTGGGCATTTCTCCCATGCTTGCTGCAAGAGGAGTCGGCACGAATTTGGTGTAGAGCACTTGCCATAGTTTGTGTCTTTTGGTCTCAGGACACCTGTTCACTTAAGCAGCACTTAGTAGGGAGAGGCTCGGTTCCTTTGAATGGTACCTTTGTATTCAGCAGTGTTTCTTCGTTTGGCTACATGAGCAATTTCTGCGGATGTTTCCAGATAATATGTTTTCATCCAGTTTGTAAGGTGACTCTTTTCTTCTTTCAGGATCTCATTTTGCCCAACGGTGGCACTCCAGCGGGTACTTCGAGTCCAGCTTCTTCATCTTCCCTTCTCAACAGACTCCAGCTTGATGATGACATTGACGGGGAGACCAGAGATCTCTTCGTCACAGTTGATGATCCCAAGAAGCATGTGTGTACGATGGAGACCTACATTACCTATAGGATCACCACCAAAGTAGGTCCCTTCATTGTTTTCTGTCCCTGTAGAAGGGTCTTGATGAATTAGAGACCTGCCATCATGATTCCCGCCTTGCTTTCTCCCAACCCTTTGTAGGACTCCTTACCTTCATCCGAAAGGCGTGTGTGGCTTTTGGAGAGAGTAAATGTATTCACAGCAAAAGGATTCTCTGTGAATTTATTTGACTTTAAAATGAAGGAGAAATTATAGCTATAGTCTTTGAAATGAAACCTTTAATCCCTCTATTTTCACTTATTTTGGGTCATGATACTGTTTGGCATGTTAATATCACCTTACTCTTGAAATTTATGAATCATTGTATCATCCTGAAGCTCTGGATGAGCTCTGGTAAGACCATGGTTATAATTTGGCATAATTGGAACAGATCATAGCGGAGGGGAGTAAGAGGAGGCTGGGAATGAAGATTTATTGCCTTTCTGCTTGCTATGTGCCACGAGGGTAGTGGGCAGGGTGCTGGGGTTGACTGGTTTCATTCATGTTCATAGTGACCCTCAAAGGTAGATCTTCTAGTTAAAATGTTAGTGATAAGAAAACTGAAACAGAAACTTTAAGTAACTCACTCATGGTTACAAAGTTGGTAATCACAAATCTAATTTGAATGTTTAGGACTGTTAACCTCACATTTTAATTTTCAAACCCATATTCTTTAACCTAATTCTACTTATAAAAGAATAATGTGTTATTTTTTACTTTTGAAAATTATTTTTTCAATATTTTAAATAGCACTACAGTTTTAAGCAGGGTTTCTCATCTATGCCAGGATTGACTTTTTGGACTGAATAATTCTTTTATGGGGGGAGTGGTCCTATGCATTGTAGGATGTTTCCCAGCACCTTTGGTCTCTACCCATTAGATGCCAGTAGTACCTTTCCCCAACCATCAATGGAGACAACCAAAAATGTCTCCAGAAATTGCCAAATATTTCCTGGGGGACAACATTATTCCTGGTTGAGAATCACTGATTCAGAAGAAGAGTAACAATATTTACACTCTTAGGAGAAAATACACATGATCACTTTATATATATATATTGGTTGTGTGTGTGTGTGTGTGTATATACACACACACACACATACACATATGTATACTTCTAACTTGTGTTACTTGATTCTGAATTTATTATAAAAAGACATGTTAAAAAAGAGGCCCAAAATGGAGTCATTTGCCTCCCACTATAGCAAGCCATGACTGAATTATACTTTCAACCTATCCTAGGAGTCATCACTTTATATTTTTGAATAGAGAAAGTGTTTTATTCAGGAAACCATCCTGTTTGTTGGCATTCCCCCGTCCATCACAGGCCACATGATAAAGAAGGATTTACATATTTTTAGAAGTTTTAATAGATTGAGGGCACCTTTGTGGATGGTATTAAGAGAAGCATTTATGAATATCTCTCTCGTCTACTGTGCCTTTTCTCTTTTCCATTGTAGAAGATAAATTAATTTTTTACTGTCAAAGTTTAGTGGGTTCTATGCTTGTCTAAATTCTTTGAGGGAGATGGGCAGAGAATAAAATACACTCAAATTTTGTTTCTTCATCTTTTGTTGGATGACAATGCTATATTTTAAAAATTATGCAAGTATTATAAATACTTTATTGTGAATAAGGAAATGATGATAAAGACCAAATACAAATCTTCCTTAGCCCTACATACTTACTTGCCAAAAGCAACCATTGCTAAAATTTGATATATATCCTTTCCACTCTTTTTTTTATTTTTTATTTTATTTTATTTTATTTTTATTTTTTTTTTTTTAAGATTTTATTTATTTATTCAAAAGAGACACAGAGAAAGATGCAGAGACATAGGCAGAGGGAGAAGCAGGCTCCCTGCAGGGAGCCTAATGTGGGACTCGATCCTGGGACTCTAGGATCACGCCGTGGGCTGAAGGTAGGTGCTCAACCACTGAGCCACCAGGCATCCCCCATTCTTTTGTGTGTGTGTGTTTACACATGCACATATAGAGTTAAAATATATATAATTCAGATTTCACTGTAATAGTTTTCTAACCTTCTCCTCTATGGTATTTTTTTTTAAACGATTTTATTTATTCATGAGAGACAGACACAGAGAGAAAGGCAGAGACATAGGCAGAGGGAGAAGCAGCCTCCTCGCAAGGAGCCTGATGCAGGACTCGATCCCAGGACCCCGGGATCATGAACTGAGCTGAAGGTAGACACTCAACCACTGAGTCCCCCAGGTAGTATTTTTGAAGACCTTTCCGTGTTTGTATATTCATACAGAGAGTTTAGTTTTTCAATCTCTGCCTAAATTTTTATGCAATGATTATACAGTATCTTTTCTCTATGGACATTTAAGTCCTTCTCAGATATTTCTCTGGTTTTCTTGCCCTGTCGTTTCTGTACCTGGTTCACGTCTGAGAACTTGTCTGTGAATATGTGCACACCTACATGCATGCACACAATCTTCCCCAATCCTCAGAGGTTCTAGGTTGATAAACGTATTCCCATGAATTATTTCCACCTCTGCCCCCTCCCACCCCCAGGGTCAACTTATTTTTTACCCTGTAGTCAGCAAAATGCAAAACCTGTTTTTCTCGAATTTATGCTCTAAACAGCAGAAGGACAAGGTGACTGCCTTGCTGGCACAGCAGTGCTTGCCTACCTTCACATTCGGCCACCCTGCTTGGTTCCTCTGCCGTACTGTCGACCTCCTGCAGCTTTATTTATTTATTTATTTATTTATTTATTTATTTATTTATTTATTTATTTATTTTAAATATTTTTTTATTGAAGTTCGATTTGCCAACATAGAGTGTAACACCCAGTGCTCATCCCTTCAAGTGCCCCCCTCAGTGCCCCTCACCCAGTCACCCCGTGCCCCCGCCTGCATCCCCTTCCACTACCTCTTGTTCGTTTCCCAGAGTTAGGAGTCTCTCATGTTTTGTCTCTCTCTCTAAAGACCTCCCACAGTTTTAAACCTACAGGACCTCCGTTACCCAAGTCATAAGCCACCTCGCTCTCCCGTGCCCCTTCTCTTTCCTTCCTTCCTCTTTTTCCTTGGTGTTCTTATCTCTCTGTCTTCTCCCTGGGGTTGATATCCTAGAAGTCAGAATTTTTCCACATTCCCTTTCCATATTTTCTCTTTTCTCTTCTTTCTTTCTTGAATTTATTTATTCATGAGAGACAGAGAGAGAGAGAGAGAGAGAGAGAGGCAGAGACACAGGCAGAGGGAGAAGCAGGCTCCATGCAGGGAGCCCGATGTGGGACTTGATCCAGGGACCCCAGGATTACACCCTGAGCCGAAGGCGGATGCTAGACCACTCAGCCACCCAGGTGCCCCCCCATTCCACATTTTCACCTGGCTGTAATGCCGCAGGATTGGTGAACCCCATTGCGGGATTATGTCTCATTTCTTACTCTCCATCCTATCTCAAAGCAGAGTCCTTTGCTCTTCCCTGTGCAGGTGGTGACACCAGGTTTAATATCTTGGTGGTGCACGTGGAACCTTCTTGCCAAACATCGCATTAAAGCGTGTCTACACACCCCCATGTAGCCCCACACCCTGTGGTGTGCAGGGCTGAGGGGAAGAGGACAAGCAGGAGCACAGGGCCTCACACACTGATCTTGCCCCGGGACCCCCACTCTTCTGTGGTTCGCTAGCAGAGTTAATGATCACAGGACGAGGTTGTACAATTACTTACTTCATTACTTTGAGCTTTGACTCTCCAGCCCTGATTCAGATTCCTAATAACCAAAGCCGGACAAAGTACAGAGCTGCTTTTGCCTGAGCTAAAACGAGCCTAGGGCTGAGAGCCAGCCTAGGCAAAGAACTGTCTAATCTAAGCACCCAAATCTAAGTCATGGGTGCCTTTCTTTTCTGGGGAGCCAGCCCGGCCTTCTGAGGTCAGGCGGATCCTGGGTCTTTTCTCTGCAAGCTCCTAGAAAGTATCATCATCATAATAGCCAATTACTGAGCACTTACTGTGTGCTGTACTTTTTGGTCATAGAAACCTTTTATTTTATAGAAGTGTGCTTATCGTAGAGAAACTAGAAAACTCAAGGAAGCTGAAACAATGAAAGAACACCTATAAGCTCACCAGCCAGAAATAATCATTTATAAATTTCTGAACTGTTTGTCTCTAGCCATTGACAAAAATGAGTATTTTGCATGCTGCCCATTCATTTCATGTGTTGGGTATCTTTCTGTGCTAGTAAATGCCAGTTAGCACACCTTATGCTATCGCTTCCTTCCTTCCTTCCTTCCTTCCTTCCTTCCTTCCTTCCTTCCTTCCATCCATCCATCCATCGATTTATTTGAGAGGGAGTTGGGGGGAGGGTGGGGAGAGGCAAGGGGAAAGAGAGAACCTCAAACAGACACCCCACTTAGGGCAAAGCCTGACTGTTCGATCATTTCTAAGACTGTGTGTTCCGCTATCTGGAGGAGCCATTGTTTATTTTGTGCTACGTGCCCTAAATATATTGTCAGCTAATCCTCACACTCAATGAGGCAGGTACTGGTGGTATTTTTCCTTTGTGGATGAGGAAACTGAGACACAGACATATTAAGAAAGTTACTCGAAGACCTGCAACTGATACGTGGTGGAGCTCGGGCTGGAATCTAGATCGGTCTGTGCTGTGCTTCCACAGGCACGATTTTCAAGAGAGGGACAGCTCTGCCCCCCCTCCCAGCACTGTGCGCGGCCCTCCTCTAGGAGCCATCCTCCTCTGTCTCTCACCCATCTCCTTAGTAATCCTAAGTCTTGCACCCAACTAGCTCCTTGTTTTAGAAGCCTCCATGGTCGACAGAGGCATCTAAATAGCACTCAGAGGTCAAGGACACAAGGATTACAAAGCCAAGTTAGATTTGGTGACAAGAGGGTTGCTGATGACTCTGGGGGCCGCACTGCCCCTGGGGGGGAGGTGGGCCAGAAGCGGCCAGCACGCGTGCCCTGGGTTTGAGTGAGCGAGAAGAGAGAGTGTTGGTGGTTTGGCAGTGAAGTGAGAATAGG